CCGTATGCTTACATTCCACGTGCTTTCTCGTACTATTCATCAAGGCGACTGGTTTACCTCAGTCGACCTGCATGACGCTTATTTTCACATAAGCATCCTGCCATTACATAGGAGGTTTCTGAGGTTTGCTTTTCAAGGCCTACGAATACATCGCTGTTCTGGTTAGTGCTAGTTCCCGGAACGTTCAGCGAGTGTGTAGAGGCAGCTCTTGCCCCCCCTAAGAATCAAGGGGCTGAGAGTCTCCGCCTACATAGACGATTACCTGCTTTGCTCTCCATTCCGGTATGAGACACAACTCACCTTGTAACCCACTTGTTTGGTGCCAACACAGAGAATAGGCATAAAGCTGGAATTCTCTCTCTTATCAGGCAACACTCTCGGAAGACTGGATCTTGTCGTTCCGACAGTGCCTCTTCCTGTTCCACAGGGGGCGCTAGGTCACGTTCAAGACGTACCTCTTGGCCTACTGAGGATGAGAGACTTCCAGTGCTGGGTGTTTGCCCAACGTCTGTGTACACGGCGTCACCGCTAGATAGAGGCGACTTCATCATGTCTCTTGCCTCTCTGTCACTGAAAGAGCCCCTCGATCTTCGTTCCTGGCAACAAGGAAAGTGGGGACAACATATGCATCGCTCACTTGCTGGGGCGCAGTTCATGAGGGAAATGCAATAAATGGAGTATGATCCCACAACTCCGCATTGCTCATATAAATTGCCTCGAACTGCTGACAGCTTCTTTCACTGAAACACTTTCTACCCTCCCTTCGGAATTGTAACGTCTTGATCAGAATAGCCAAAACGACTGTAGTGGCATATATCAACCGCCAGGATGGCACTCGCTCCCTGCACTTACAGACTATCCGTCAGGATTATTCTGTGGAGAGGAGCACACCTACTGTCCCTATGCACGACTCATGTCCCAGGCGTACTGAACGGGATTTATTGTCCAGAGGGAATCCCCATCTAAGGGACTGAAAACTCCTAGCCTAGCGGTTAGAGCATTGGGCCAAAACCGAAAGGTCACTAGTTTGAATCCCCGAGCAAAGAAGGTGAAAAGTCTGTGTGGGTCCTTGACCAAGTGTCTTACCCCTAATTGTTCCAGGGTCGACGTTGATAATGGCAGACCCTGGCTGTGACCCCACTCTGAGGGTGTCTAGGGGAGAGTGGGATATGCAAAAAATACATTTCCAATTCACACATGCGTATTAATGCATACTTGTAGATGTGTGAAATGGGACAAATAAGCACCCACCAAATTATTATTATTATTAAGTGGTGAAGCAGATCTGTGAGAGAGATGGTCAAGCGTTTGTACTGTAGATCTCTTCGCATCACAAGAATACGCGCACCTTGGCCAAGGATGTTGCTTAATGCTTTTCCTCCCCTCAGCCTCATACTCCCCACTCTGGCCAGAGTGAATGAAGAAGGCTTATTCCTCATCTTGGTAGCCCCTCGATGGCAAGCTCTGGATAGCGGAGATCACTCTCCTGCTATATGACGAGGCTTGGCAACGCCCGTTACGCAGGGATCTGCTGACCCAAGCGAACAGAGATTTTCCCCCCAGAAGCACTCTGGGCCTGGCCTGTGAGGATACATCTGGATGTGACAGGCTTGCCTCTTGGAGTCATTGAGACTATCCAGAGTGTTGGGGCCCCTTCTACGCGTTCACTGTGGTGTGACCAAAAACAGATAATTCCTTACCAATGCTCTGTTAGAGGTTTTATGCTTCTTGCAGGACCTTTTGGACAGCAGGAAAGCTTTCTCTACTGTTAAGGCCTATCGTGCCGCTTTCTCGGCCTGCCATATAAGCTTAATTAAAAACACTGTGGGGAAAAAAACCCTGTTATGACGTTTCATTAAGGGGGCACGCCACTTACATCCAGTTCCCAAACCTTTAGCCCGTCATTGGATTTGTCTATTGTGCTTGAGGCCATTTCACAGCAGCCTTTTGAGCCGCTGGAAAGTGTGGAGATTAAATATCTAATTTAAGACCGCTTTACTGGTCGGCCTTACGTCTGCGTGCACTCAGTTCACCATTCGTGCCTACAGTTTGCCCGGGGCTTTTCCAAGGTCACCTTGTTGCCCAATCCCACCTTTTTGCCCAAGGTTAGCGGCAATTTATTTCTAAGTGACTTCACCGTTTTGTGTCTAGTATGTGCATTGTGAATATACTTCGATAGGACGAGAGCTTTGCGCAAGAGCGACCAACTCTTTGTGTACTGGGCGCCTCCCTGTAAGGGGAGGCCCCCCTCTCATCAACTGTCACGACTTCCGCCGAGGCTGCCCCCCCTCCTGGTTCGGGCAGGCTTCGGCGTTCGTCGTCACTGGAGTACTAGCTACTGCCGATCCCATTCTCATCACTCCACTTGTCATGTCTTGTCAATCACACACACCTGGTGCTCATTCCCCTAATTAGTATGTGTATAAGTGTTCCCCTTGTCTTTGTGAGTGATTGTTTTGTTGTGAGAGCGTGTAGCTCGGCTGTGTTATTTGCCAAGGTGGATGTTTTCCCTTGTACAGTGTCGTTTGACGCTTGGGGCGTTTGATTTATGAAAACGGATTAAACGCTGGACTTCGGTATTTTACCTCCTGCGCCTGACTCCTTAATTTCACACCTCATCACATCAAAGGTTGTCTCATTGGATTGTAGAAGCTATTTATATTGGCCCATAACCTAGCGGTCAAACGGGAAATGGTTCTTTTAAATTTTTTTAATGTTTTAAAATATGGGCTGTGTTTCGTGTAGGCTTACCCTGGTGTGACGTTTTGATAACCATGTAAATCTCTCTCGGACAAGGTGACTTAGCAATATATGCAGCTCTATTTACTCTCAGCTTAGAAAATGCTAATTAGCATCAAAGTAGACATCATACAAAAATATAAACGCAACATGCAATGATTTTACTGAGTTAGTTCATATAAGGAAATCAGTCAATTGAAATAAAATCATTAGGCTCCAATCTATGGATTTCACATGACTGGGCAGGGGCGTAGCCATGGGTGGGCCTGGAAGGGCATAGGCCCACCCACTTGGGAGCCACGCCCATCCACTGGGGAGCCACGCCCAGCCAATCAGAATGAGTTTTTCCCCCCACAAAAGGGCTTTATTACAGAAATAAATACTCTTCAGTTTCATCAGCTCTCCGGGTGGCTGGTCTCAGATGATCCTGCAGGTAAATAAGCCGGATGTGGAGGTCCTGGGCTGGCGTGTTTACACGGTTGGACGTACTGCCAAATGTTTTAAAATGACGTATGGTAGAGAAATTAACATTCAATTCTCTCGCAACAGCTCTGGTGGACATTCCGCAGTCAGCATCCCAATTGCACGCTCCCTCAACTTGAGACATCTGTGGCATTGTGTTGTGTGACAAAACTGCACATTTTAGAGTGGCCTGTTATTGTCCCCAGCACAAGATGCACCTGTGTAATGATCATGCTGTTAAATCAGCTTCTTGATATGCCACACCTGTCAGGTGGATGGATTATCTTGGCAAAGGAGAAACGCTCACTAACAGGGATGTAAACAAATGTGTACATAACATTTGAGAGAAATTAGCTTTTTGTGCATATGGACATTTTTGGGGATATTTTATTTCAGCTCATGAAACATGGGACCAACACTTTACATGTTGCGTTTATATTTTTGTTCAGTATACAAATCCCTGCAAGCTCCTGCACATCATCTCTAGCTGACACCTTTGCTAAAAGGTATTGTGTCAATTTCAAACTTGCACAAGACAAAACAGAATTGTGAATTTTAAAGAAACGTAGCCAATTTATACATTACTACATTTAGCTAACATTAGAGTTAAGCGGTCTCGTCCAGATCATCATGGCATTTGTAGTTCTTTATGATAGCCACAATAGCAGCTAAATAGCGTTTCATTTTTACAGCCGAAATATATTGATAAAAGTCACCTTGTCCTAGAGAGAGATACACGGTTATAAAAATGTCACGCCAGGGTAAGCCTACACAAAACACAGCCCTAATTTTAAGTGTTTCTAAAATCCCCTATGGGAAAAATGAATGTTGGAGAAACGATTGGAACTGCTAGGTTTTATGGGTATTATGACTCGTACTGTGGTATAATTGCAAGGTGTTACAGGTATGGCTACCTCTTGGGCACTGTTCAAGGGCATCTTCTTGCAGGAAATTTGCGATGCGGCTTGTTGGCTATCCCCTCCTGCTTTTCTGAAGTTCTACCGACGTCACTGCACCTTCATTGGCGCATACTTTCCTCATTGCCCGGGCTTCTGAGGGTTAATATTGAGGCTGCCTGGCTTCGGAGAGCATGTGTGATACGGGAGTTGGTCATATCCCACAGTGAGATGTTGAAGCAAATAATTGAAAGAGAATTTAAGGTTACTTGCATTAAAAAAAATAGTAAAATGTAACCCCGGTTCTCTGATATTGAGTGAGACATCTCACTCAAGCTGGGCGACATTGGCAAAATCCATATCGCGATAAATTGCCTGAATTGATGCGATAACAATACATAAAGATAAGTTTAACATTTAATGTGCACCAGTTTTATTATCATGTACTACCACTACTAGTTTGATGGTTGTAGCCATCAGTTGTCCCATTAACAATTACCCATATTAGCAAACTTATTTCATTTCAAACTTCACATTTCTCTAGTATAGGCTACTTATTGTAATGAACGATATCAGCAAAATGCAATGCCTGCGATAAGTGGTCAGTGTCGAACATTTTTGGTTTATCATCCCAGATCTACATCTCACCACATTCCCCTACTCGCAAGAGTGTGAGGAAGTTTGGCACGCTCGAGAATGATCAGAGGGCAGGCGAGTGGCTCTTTCGTCTCCAACAGACGTGTATAATTGGTCCTTCAAGCTACTTCTGGTGAATCCACACAGTGCGACTTCTCACTTATAATATCAGAGAACTGGGGTTACGCAAGTAACCTTAAGTTATCAACAACAGCTATTGTTATTACAGTATTGTCTTGCCCTGTCCAATAGGAAGTGGCCAATCTGATGAATCTGGACACCAGGAAGACCTCTTCTCTATGGAAGGACCAGGCACTGGTGGAGATCAACATAGCAGTCCTCTACAGTTTTCAGGTGATTGCCAAGTGTTATTGTATTGTATTGTATTGTCTGCACATTTCTAGACTGTTCTCCATTGTATATAAATTACAGCCTAAAATATTTTTCTTTAGAAGTCTTTACATTATGTTAGAAATTGGGTAATCTCGGCACCCAGAACCAATGGTAAGGCTGTCACGAGTGACTAGAAATAAAGGTGAAATAGTATGTACTTGTGATTTTAAATTGATACTAAATGTGAACCTGAAACAACTGCAATGAATGAATTCCACAGACAGGAACTGATCCCCATTATCTGTTCCCAGTCATCTAAGGTAACCATAGTGGACCACCACTCTGCCACAGAGTCCTTCATGAAGCACATGGAAAACGAGATCAGGGTGCGTGGGGGCTGCCCGGGAGACTGGGTCTGGATCGTACCCCCAATGTCTGGAAGCATCACCCCAGTGTTCCACCAGGAGATGCTCAACTATCGCCTCACGCCATCCTTTGAGTATCAGGTGAGGAGGAAGGAGAGTTTGTGTGGCCAGGTCAAAGTCAAATATTTTTAAATACTTTAGCAGCACTTGATTTAGTTTAAAATTAAGCCAAATCGAGAGCACTTCAAATTGTATTTGACATACAGTATGTACAGTGCATTCGGAAAGTATTCAGACCCCTTCCCTTTTCCCACATTTTGTTACGTTACAGCCTTATTCTAAAATGGTCAAATAAACTAAAAAAATCCCTCATCAATCTACACACAATACCCCATAATGACAAAGCAAAAACTGATTTTTAGATTATTTTCAAATGTATTAAAAAATAAAAACTGAAATGTGACCGACCGCCTTGATTCGGTCTTATGTAGCAAAATTTGAAATTGCATTTTTACATTGGATAAAAGCAGAGACACAGAGCTACAAAATGGTATATCATACACTGCATTTGAGGAACAATGGGAAAGTAATTCATTCTGCTTTGAAAGTTGATAAACTTGTAACCCCACTTTTGAGAAAATGGCCTTTGAATGTTTTAGTACCTACTGGAGAGCTCTTCTATGTCTACACCCATTCAGCATCGTTCACACCCTCTTAAGCTTTAGCCCCACCCATCTCGTTTCGCTCTCGGAGCGTTCAGAGCGCACACTGGACGCTCTGGCCGATGAGTAGGGATCAAATTTTATTTGCCACATGCGCCGAATACAACAGGTGTGGACATTACTGTGAAATGCTTACTTACAGCCCTTAACCAACAATGCATTTATTTTTTAATAAAAAAGTACAATAAAACAACAACAAAGTGTTGAAAAAGAGCAGAAGTAAAATAAAACAGTAGGGAGGCTATATACAGGGGGGTACCGGTGCAGAGTCAATGTGCGGGGGCACTGGCTAGGTAGTTGAGGTAATATGTACATGTGGGTAGAGTAAAAGTGACTATGCATAAATTAACAGTAGCAGCAGCGTAAAAAGATGGGGTGGGGGGGCAGTGCAAATAGTCTGGGTAGCCATGATTAGCTGTTCAGGAGTCTTATGGCTTGGGGGTAGAAACTGTTGAGAAGCCTTTTGGACCTAGACTTGGCGCTCCGGTACCGCTTGCCGTGCGGTATTAGAGAGAACAGTCTATTGCTAGAGTGGCTGGAGTCTTTGACAATTTTGAGGGCCTTCCTCTGACACCGCCTGGTATAGAGGTCCTGGATGTCAGGAAGCTTGGCCCCAGTGATATACTGGGCTGTACGCACTACCCTCTGTGGTGTCTTGCTGTCGGAGGCCGAGCAGTTGCCATACCAGGCGGTGATGCAACCAGTCAGGATGCTCTCGATGGTGCAGCTGTATAACTTTTTGAGGATCTGTGGACCCATGCCAAATGTTTTCAGTCTCCTGAGGGGGAATAGGCTTTGTCGTGCCCTCTTCACGGCTTTCTTGGTGTGTTTGGACCATGAGAGTTCGTTGTTGATGTGGACACCAAGGAACTTGAAGCTCTCAACCTGTTCCACTACAGCCTCGTCGATGAGAATGGGGGTGTGCCCAGTCCTCTTTTTTTTTTTCCTGTAGTCCACAATCATCTCCTTTGTCTTGGTCACGTTGAGGGAGAGGTTGTTATCCTGGCACCACATGGACAGGTCTCTGACCTCCTCCCTAAAGGCTCTCATCGTTGTCGGTGATCAGGCCTACCACTTGTGTCGTCGGCAAACTTAATGATGGTGTTGGAGTCGTGCCTGGCCATGCAGTCATGGGTGAACAGGGAGTACAGGAGGGGACTGAGCACGCACCTCTGAGGGGCCCCCGTGTTGAGGATCAGCGTGGCAGATGTGTTGTTACCCACCCTTACCACCTGGGGGCGGCCCGTCAGGAAGTCCAGGATCCAGTTGCAGAGGGAGGTGTTTAGTCCCAGGATCCTTAGCTTAGTGATGAGCTTTGAGGGCACTATAGTGTTGAATGCTGAGCTGTAGTCAATGAATAGCATTCTCACGTAGGTGTTCCTCTTGTCCAGGTGGGAAAGGGCAGTGTGGCTGCAATAGAGATTGCGTCATCTGTGGATCTGTTGGGGCGATATGCAAATTGGAGTGGGTCTAGGGTTTCTGGGATAACGGTGTTGTGAGCTATGACCAGCCTTTCAAAGCACTTCATGGCTACAGACATCAGTGCTACGGGTCGGTAGTCATTTAGGCAGGTTATCTTAGTGTCCTTGGGCACGGGGACTATGGTGGTCTGCTTGAAACATGTTGGTATTACAGACTCAGTCAGGGACATGTTGAAAATGTCAGTGAAGACACTTGCCAGTTGGTCAGCACATGCTCGGAGTACACGTCCTGGTAATCCGTCTGGCCTTGCGGCCTTGTGAATGTTGACCTGCTTAAAAGTCTTACTCACATCGGCTACGGAGAGCGTGATCACATAGTCATCCGGAACAGCTGGTGCTCTCATGCATGCTTCAGTGTTGCTTGCCTCGAAGCGAGCATAGAAGTGGTTTAGCTCATCTGGTAGGCTTGTGTCACTGGGCAGCTCGCGGCTGTGCTTCCCTTTGTAGTATGTAATAGTTTTCAAGCCCTGCCACGTCTGACGAGCGTCAGAGCCGGTGTAGTACGATTCAATCTTAGTCCTGTATTGACTCTTTGCCTGTTTGATGGTTCGTCGGAGGGCATAGCAGGATTTCTTATAAGCGTCCAGGTTAGAGTCCCGCTCCTTGAAAGCGGCAGCTCTACCCTTTAGCTCAGTGCAGATGTTGCCTGTAATCCATGGCTTCTGGTTGGGGTATGTACGTACAGTCACTGTGGGGACGACATCATCGATGCACTTATTGATGAAGCCAGTGACTAATGTGGTGTACTCCTCAATGCTATCTGAAGAATCCCGGAACATGTTCCAGTCTGTGCTAGCAAAACAGTCCTGTAGCTTAGCATCTGCGTCATCTGAGCACTTTCTTATTAACCGAGTCACTGGTGCTTCCTGCTTTAGTTTTTGCTTATAAGCAGGAATCAGGAGGATAGAGTTATGGTCAGATTTGCCAAATGGAGGGCGAGGGAGAGCTTTGTATGCGTCTGTGTGTGGAGTAAAGGTGGTCTAGAGTTTTTTTTTTTGTTTTTTTTTTCTCTGGTTGCACATTTAACATGCTGGTAGAATGGATTTAAGTTTTTTCTGCATTAAATTCCCCGGCCACTAGGCGCGCTGCCTCTGGATGAGCGTTTTCCTGTTTACTTATGGCCTTATACAGCTCATTGAGTGCAATCTTAATGCCATTATTGGTTTGTAGCGGTAAATAGACAGCTATGAAAAATATAAATAAACTCTCTTGGTAAATAGTGTGGTCTACAGCTTATCATAAGATACTCTACCTCAGGCGAGCAAAACCTCGAGACTTCCTTATAATTTGATTTTGTGCACCAGCTGTTTACAAATATACACAGACCGCCACCCCTTGTCTTACCAGAGTCAGCCGTTCTATCCTGCTGATGTAGCGTATATCCCGTCAGCTGTATGTTGTCCATGTCGTCGTTCAGCCACGACTCGATGAAACATAAGATATTACAGTTTTTAATGTCCCGTTGGTAGGATAACCGTAATCTTACGTCATCTAATTTATTTTCAAATGATTGGACATTGGCTAATAGGATTGATGGAAGAGGCAGTCTACTCGTTTGCCACGGATCCTTACAAGGCACCCCGACCTACGTCCACGATGTCTCTGTCTCTTTCTCCTGCGAATGGCGGGATTTGGGCCTTGTCGGGTGTCTGTAGGATATCCTTCGTGTCCGACTCGTTGGAGAAAAAATCTTCGTCCAATACGAGGTGAGTAATCGCTGTCCTGATATCCAGAAGCTCTTTTTGGTTATAAGAGACGATGGCAGAAACATTATGTACAGAATAAATTACAAATAACGCTTAAAAACACACAATAGTACAATTGGTTAGAGGGCTGTAAAACGGCAGCCATCCTCTCCGGCGCCATCTTTTGATCCGAGCGTTCTGACCTCATGAATAATAAGATCATACACGTAATGTTAGCTAGCGAGCCAGCCAGCTAACGTTATTCTAATTCCACTGATTATAAAAAAACTCAGTCCTCTAGAAAGTGGAGAGCAACACTTATGCAGTTTTACTACGCAATACATTTTAAAAAAGCTGCATTAGACAGGATAACATACTGACCAGCTCAAATAGACAGAAGCGTGCTATATGGCAGACCAATCCGAACTCATCTGTCGGCATGTCCAGCCCACTCATTATCTCAGCCAATCATGGCTAGAGGGAAGGTTGCTGTCTTTCTGTGGCTAAACTAACTAGGCTCGTAATTTAACCATTTTATTTGTATTTACAGATGGCATACAAGCTTGTTATCAAGGCACAAAAAAACACATTTTGATAAAGAAAAAAAAAAAAGTTGAGGTAGTGACCCGCGACATACGCCTAGTTTCCTGAAACCAGTCACAAATATAACATTTACGTAAGTATTCAGACCCTTTACTCTGTTTTGTTGAAGCGCCTTTGGTAGAGCTTACAGCCTCAAGTCTTCTTGGGTATGACGCTACAAGCTTGGCACACCTGTATTTGGGGAGTTTCTCCCATTCTTCTCTGCAGATCCTCTCAAGCTCTGTCAGGTCGTATGGGGAGTGTCGCTGCACAGCTATTTTCAGGTCTCTCCAGAGATGTTCGATCGCGTTCAAGTCCGGGCTCTGGCTGGGCCACTCAAGGACATTCAGAGACTTGACCCGAAGCCACTCCTGCATTGTCTTGGCTGTGTGCTTAGGGTCGTTGTCCTGTTAGAAGGTGAACCTTCGCCCCAGTCTGAGGTCCTGAGCTCTCTGGAACAGGTTTTCATCAAGGATCTCTTTACTTTGCTCCGTTCATCTTCCCCTTGATCCTGACTTGTCTCCCAGTCCCAGCCGCTGAAAAACATTCCCACAGCATGATGCTGCCACCACCATGTGTCACCGTAGGGATGGCACCAGGTTTCCTCCAGACGTGGTGCTTGGCATTCAGGCCAAAGAGTTCAATCTTGGTTTCGTCCGACCGAAGAATGTCGTTTCTGATGGTCTGAGAGTCCTTTAGGTGCCTTTTGCCAAACTCCAAGCGGGCTGTCGTGCCTTTTACTGAGGAGTGGCTTCCGCCTGGCCTGATTGGTGGAGTGCTGCAGAGACAGTTGTCTTTCTGGAAGGTTCTCCCATCTCTACAGAGGAACTCTGGAGCTCTGTCAGAGTTTCTTGGTCACCTCCCTAACAGCCCTTCTCCCCCAATTGCTCAGTTTGGCCAGGCGGCCAGCTCTAGGAAGAGTCTTGGTGGTTCCAAACTTCTTCCCCAGATCTGTGCCTCGACACAATCCTGTCTCGGAGCTCTACGGAAAATTCCTTCGACCTCATGGCTTGGTTTTTGTTCTGACATGCACTCAACTGTGGGACCTTATATAGACAGGTGTGTGCCTTTCCAAATCATGTCCAATCAATTGAATTTACCACAGGTGGACTCCAATCAAGTTATAGAAACATCTCAAGGATGATCAATGGAAACAGGATGCCCCTGAGCTCAATTTCGAGTCTTATAGCAAAGGGTCTGAATACTTATGGAAATAGGTATTTCAGTTTTTTATTTTAAATACATTTGCAAAAATGTCTAAACCTGTTTTCGCTTTGTCGTTATGGGGTATTGTGTGAAGATTTGTATTTATTGAATCCATTTTAGAATAAGGCTGTAACGTAACAAAAGGGAAGGGGTCTGAATATTTCCGAATGCACTGTATTTGACCCCAGGTCAGGGTCAGAATGTCATTTTAAATGTACAGTAACGTCATCCACTGACCTGTATGTTAAGCCTATTGTGAATCTCTCTCTACTACAGGCTGACCCGTGGAATAACCATGTGTGGAAAGTTAACAATGGGACACCCACCAAGAAAAGAGCCATCGGCTTCAAGAAACTGGCCAAGTGAGTAGAGAGAGAGGTCTTTTCATTACGCCTTAGGACAACATTATGCTTCACCTAGATTGTGGTTAGAGGTCGCCCATGTAGTCCTGCTTGCTTTTTATAGATTGAAGTGCCCACTTGTTTCCTAATCGTCCATTTGGGACTAAGAACTAATAAATATACCATGTTAGTGATTTTGTATCTTATTAGTTCACTGTAATGTCCAGAGTTCTCAACTGACATGGAAATGTATTGTACATGTTGTCTATTTATAGTCTTTGTAATATCAAGACTCTGGATTATTCACTATACAACTAGTAATATAACATATCACCAAGATTTTCCAATACAGAGATCTATGGTTCTTCGGTTGAAGGGTGCAATTGTAGTATAGGGCGGCTGGTCGCCTTATGTCTGTTTATCCTCCATTTGCTTCTATTCTCCTTTTTTTGCCACTCGATGAATGGGATGAAACGAGGTAGTGGTACAGACACAGGGAGGAGAGGAAGCTGATCTACTCAACGGTGTAATTCACTCAATCAACCCCTAAGGGAGTAATCAGAACAATGGTGAAAAATAAGAGTTTTGCTTTTTACTTTCTTTCGTGCGTTGGGTGGGTTCTGAGCTATTATTGGAATTGCCCCGAGGATACGACGAGCTATGATTGCCATCCGCTGTTTAGTCATGACGTGCAGCACTGCCTGTCTGCTCGAGCGAACCACACGAGTGCAGAAGGAAGCTAGTAAGCATCTGAGTTTAGAAGACTTTGGGGGGGGGGGGGCTTGTGGTGTAACAAGGTCTGTTTTGCCCTTGATCACTGGTGCCTATGATTTAACTTCAGTTTATTTCTGGTTACATGATATAAAACCTTTCATGAATGAACCATTTTAAAATGTTTATTTATAGCCATTTTATTATGTTGTGAATTATAAATGTCTTGTCTCTGTCTGTGTGTGTGTGCAGGGCTGTGAAGTTTTCAGCCAAGCTAATGGGCCAGGCCATGGCTAAGAGGGTCAAAGCCACTATACTATTCGCCACCGAGACCGGAAAGTCTCAAGACTATGCAAAAACCTTATGTGAGATTTTCAAGCATGCCTTTGACGCAAAGGTAACTTTTTTTTTATATATATATATATATATATAGCTACCACAGAAGTTGAATAGGAGTTGGTGTCATGTCTATTTTTGATGCTATCTTGAATGGAACATATAAAAAAGCCTACTTCAAAACATCCCCCTTAACCCCTTTTGAGATTTTGAAGCAGGCCTTTTGAGGCAAAGGTAAACCACACAAGTTGACTGAGTTTGTCTTTTTTTTTTTGGGACGTTATTGAATGACAAAGCTGAGGCCCGCAGATTTGAAAAGAGCGAGGAGACAGTTTTCACACCACGAAGGAGAAGTTACACGGAAATGTGTCTTTTGTCACTTTCCCATTCCCTCTCATGCAGCAAAGCGCCAGGGGCCACAGCGGCGGAATCAACCCAGCCAAGCGTTGAGCTGTAGTTTAAGATAAGATCATAAAACACTGCGGGCTGTGTAAATGTGTTTGAAAAAAATCACAATAGAAACACACAGCTCTTCGGCTCTCAATCATCTAGTGTTTCCCTCCAGGACATCACGTCTTCTGTTTCCTCTTCCTATTTGTTAATGTAATCAATCATACGAGAGCAAAGGATCTTGTTGTACTTGAGTCAGACAGGCTGACGCAGAGGGGATGAATGACTGTGCTGGGTTGTGCGTTTCCTCTTTTCCTCTCGGTCTTGTCCATCCCCTGTTTCCAACCTCGTTCTCTCGGCATGATGGCCCGTAGGCACGAAGGCTGCTGGAGTCAGATGGCGAGTCGGATGCCTGGGTGTTAATTGTATCGCAGCACATTATCACCTTGTTAATGCAAGGACATGGTGTTCATTAGATACTAGTGCTCTATGACCTCAGGTCCTGGGCTCAGGACCGTGTGGAATGTTTATGTGGTTGAAGAGAAGGGGGTAGAGGCTTCCTGGTCATTTGAAATGTTTTGTCCTTTAATATGTCTCTGTGGTATTTTTGGTAACTGAGTATTTTTTTGTCTTGACTATCTGCTGTTTTTTGTTTGTGGGAAAATTAAATAACTGTTCAAATGTTTTATTTCAAAATGTCTCTGGTTCACATCACAATGATGACATCGTGTCATGAAATGTGGATATTTTGATTGACACACTCATGTTCCACTACTATAGGTGATGTCAATGGATGAGTACGACATGGTGGACCTGGAGCATGAAACACTCGTGTTGGCGGTGACCAGCACCTTTGGCAACGGAGATCCACCTGAAAATGGAGAGGTATGATTGACCAGTGCTGTGTGTGTTTGATTCCCACAACTACAGTATATACCATCTGTAATTTGGTTACATTTACATAAGGTAAACCTGCAAGTGATTGACTGAGTGTGTTTTCCTGTTTGGGTGTAGAAATTCGGAGCTGCCTTGATGGAGATGAGACATCCCACATCTAACACCGAGGACAGAAAGTGAGAGCCCATTCAAACAGAGCATGTTTACATGGGATGCGTCCCAAATGACACCATATTCCCTATATAGTACACTACTTTTGACCAGGGCCCATAGTGGATAGTGCACTATATCGGGAATAGGGTGCCAATTGGGATGCAATCATGGCTGCAAGTAATCCTCAGACATCCTCATACAGATTCACAGCGTTACTTCTCAACACTTAACTGCGATGGATCTTTTTTTGTGGGAGGGAGTGTACCATCTCTTGCCCTTGTGCCCTTGAGTAAGACCATTAAGCCCTAAAATTGCTCCAGGGGTGCTGCACTGCGACTGACCCTGTGCTCCTCCAATAATGGGTGTTTGTTTTTTGCCTGGGGTTGGGAGGAGAGCAGAAGTATTTATGTCTCTGCAATGGACTAATAAAGTACTATTCTATACTGAGAGTGTACATGTTGTCCCTGTGTCTCCTCTCTCTCAGGAGTTACAAGGTGCGTTTCAACAGCGTGTCCTCCTACTCAGACACCCGCAAATCCTCCAGTGACGAACCTGAGCCCAGGGTCAACTTTGAGAGCACCGGGCCCCTCGCCAACGTCAGGTACAGTAAGCAAGCCCAAGCTTATGTCACACAAAATCCGCTTGGATTTAAGGGCTAGATTCTATCAGATCCGCACTAGGCGACACCCGCATAGGCATCGGAGGTGGAACTGCATTAGAGCTGTCAAATCCACAAGCGGCTCCTTGCGTTACCTTATAGCGGACACTGCCATTGGATGCAATGAAACCACACCCGACTTTATAATTCGACAAATCCCATGCAGCCGTGTTAGAAGTTCATGCAGCCGCGGTACGTTCAAACACACTAATGTATGATGTTCTATTGTCTACACCTTGATTAGACATAGGCTATAAATCCCCTCCATCCAAATTAAAACATGCAATAGCCTGTCATTATATCTATCATCGATAGGGCCGACACTTTCTATTGCCGTTTTGAACTTCTAACGTGGTAGGGATAGTAAGGAAGGGAGTGGTTTGTGACACATAAGCAGCCACTCACCAATTTGTCAATTAATACCTCAGTTATACCTCCAACACTGCCAAAACATCAGCTATGCCGATGTCAGCCAACGCATGTTAAAAGCAGATTCTGCTTGAGTCTAGGCCTAAATATATTTTTAAAGATACATCCAGACGTGAGTACAGGTGATAGCCAAGGTGTTTGAACTGATATGACAGGGAGACAAACCCCTCTGTCTGAGGAGAACCCCAGGACATGTCTTCTTAAACCTGATGTGTTTTGATGGGTGTACGGCGATGGGAATGTCTCCTTTTACCATCTCCACCTCTCAGTGTTTGCGAACACAGACGGGACATCTGGTTCAAGATAACACATAAACATCACTCTCTGACAGTGATAACCAGTGCCCCCGCACATTGACTCTGTACCGGTACCCCCTGTATATAGCCTTCCTACTGTTATTTTATTTTACTGCTGCTCTTTAATTATATTCTATTTTTTACTTAACACTTTTTTTTTTTTTTTTTTTTCTTAAACTGCATTGTTGGTTATGGGCTTGTAAGTAAGCGTTTCACTGTAATGTCTACACCTGTTGTATTCAGCGCATGTGGCAAATACAATTTGATTTGAACTCATCCCTTTATACTACCTGTCTGTATAGAGTTCTGTGAATACTGAGGAAGGAAGAAAGCTCTTTTGAGTAATCTCCTTGTATGTAGATAGATATATTGATTTGACAATTTCATAAACAATACAACCACGCATTTAAAATCATCGAAGATGACACAAATGTTTTTAAAAACATATTTTCATTGTGGTCCTTTTTAAATAAATAAATGGTTCAAACAAATGACAAACAAACATAGTGGGCCTAGACTACATAGTATACCTAGCTTACTAGGCATACTTGGGTAACACGTTTAAGACATAACAAAACAAAGGACAGGACGACATTGTCATACCCATAGAGTATGACTCCCTCAGTAGATCAGCGATCTCAGGCTCCTAAACTGAGTTAGATAATGGTGATGCAGTTGATGCCAGATGATGGTGATGTCTGGTTGTCTGAATCAAATCACTGTGTTTGCATGCCTGTGTACGTGTCGTTCTCTCTCTCTCGTTTTCTCTCTCTTGTTCGTTCTCTCTCTCTCGTTTTCTCTCTCTTGTTCGTTCTCTCTCTCTCTCTCGTTCGCGCTCTCTCGCGCTCGCTTTCTTGTTCTCTCTCGCTCTCTCGTTCTCTCTCTTGTTCTCTCGCTCTGTCTCGCTCTCTCTCTCTCGCTCTCTCTCTCGCTTACTTTGGATATTTACACTATTAACATAATTAAAATAATAATCATAAATATTGTCAACGGGACAACAGTAACAACAATAACCAAGAGTCAAAATAACCATTGAACAATAACAATATAGAGGACATATGCAGGTTTTCCTGTGTCTACCCTTCTCAATGGCAAGGCTGTGCTCACTGAGCCTGTACTTTGTCAAGGTTTTTTAAAGGTTTTGATCAGTAACCATGGTCAAATAGTTAGCCACGGTGTACTGTCGATTTAGGGCCAGATAGCACTGCATTTTACTTTGTGCTTGTGTTTCCCAATAACCAATGTAGTTTTGTTTTGACTGTGTTGTAATTTGGTTTATTCTGATTGATTGGATGTTCTGTGTTAGTAGAACATGTTTGTGAACTCAGCCCCAGGACCAGCTGGATGAAGGGACTATTTTCTTTGCTCAGCTCTTGGCATTGCAGGGCTTGGTAATGATATGAGAGGGGGTCACTGTATTTTAGATGTTTCCAAAACTTAATTGCTCTTTTATGAGTTTTTATTATTAGTGGATATTGGCCTAATGCTGCCCTGCATGCATTATTTGCAGTTTTCCTCTGGACATGTAGGAGAATCTTACAGAACACTGCATGCAGGGTTTCAATGGGGTGTTTGTCCCATTTGGTGAAATCTTGTTTTGTAAGTGGACCCCACACCTCGCTGCCATAAAGTGCAATTGGTTCAATGACACATTCAATTAGTTTTAGCCAAATTTGAATAGGTATTTCAATTTGAATTCGTTTTTTAATGGCGTAGAATGCCCTGCGTGCTTTCTCTCTATTCATTCACTGCATCATATAGGTGTCCAGTTGAGATTATTTTTAAACCTAAGTAATTGTAGTGTGTGCAGTACTCTATATATTTTGTACCAATTGAGAACTTTGGTCTAATTCCCTGAAATCTGGATCTTCTCTGGAAAGTCATTATTTTAGTATTTTTGGGGTTTACTGCCAGGGCCCAGGTCTGGCAGTACTGCTCTAGCAGGTCCAGGCTCTGCTGTAGGCCATGTGCTGTGGGTGACAGCAGGCACAGGTCATCTGCGAAGGGCAGGCATTTAACCTCTGAATTGTGGAGACTAACACCAGGGGCTGGGGATTTTTCTAGAATAGTGGCCAATTCGTTGATGTAAATATTGAAGAGTGCAGGGCTCAGATTGCAACCCTGGCGAAGGCTTCGCCCCTGGTTAAAGAATTATGTTATTTTCTTGCCAATTTTGATGCTGCATGTATTGCCACGTATTGATTTAATTATGTCATGTTTTACCCCCTACACCACTTTCAATAACTTTGTAGAACAGTCCTGTATGCCAAATAGAATCAAAAGCTTTTTGGAAGTCGATAAAGCAAGCGTACATTTTGGTATTATTTTGGTGGACATGTTTATCTATCAGGGTGTGTAGGGTGTAAATATGATCGGTCTTGCGATGTTTTGGTATAAATCCAATTTGGCTTTTACTTGACATTGTGCTTATTAAGGAAGTTTGGAACTCTTACATTTATAATACTACAGAAAACCTTCCCCAGGTTACTGTTCACACAAATGCCTCTGTAATTGTTAGGGTCAAATTTGTCTCTGTTCTTAAAGATTGGGGTTATGAGTCCTTGATTCCAGATGTCAGGGAAATAACCTACACTCAGGATCAAATTAAACAGTTTTAATATAGCCAATTGACATTTTGCACTAGTGAATTTGAGCATCTCATTTAGGATGCCATCTGGTCCACATGCTTTTTTTAATTTGAGGGCCTGAAGTTTCTTATAGAGCTCCTGGTCAGTAATTGGGGAGTCCAATGGATTTGGATTGTCCTTTATAGCTTTTTCTAATCCATTCAACTTCTCATGAATTTGGCATTGTTCTGCATTTGTGTCAATTTTAACGGTGTTGTAGAGTGTTTTAAAATGGGTTGTCCATATGTCACCATTTGTATCGCTAATTCCTTTTGTTTTGATTTTTTAAAAAGTTTTTTCAAATTTTGCCAGAAGTTGTTTGTGTTTATGGACTCCTCAATTAGTGCCAGCTGCTTGCTGTTGTACTGTGCTTTTTTTGGTTCTGAGTGTACGTTTATAGAGTTTTAAAGTCTCACAGTAATGAAGGCGTAATTCACCATTATTTGGGTCTCTGTGCTTTTGGTTTGATTGTTCTAAGTTTTTTCCTTATAATTTTACAATCTGCATCAAACCAGTTGTCATCTGTGGTCTTTATTGTTTTGTTTTTTTATCCATTTTAGTTGTGCTTCTTTTGCCGTTTGCCTAAATAAATAAATATAAATATATATATATATTAGTTGATGTTTTTTACTGCTAGATTGATGCCTTCTTTACTGTGAGTGAATGTGGTATCCAGAAAGTTATCTAAGAGTGTTTGGATATTTTGGTTACTGGTTGCTTTCTGGTATTCTTCTGTGCTGTTTTGGGCCCATCTGTATGAATTTCTGATGTTGTACAGCTTACTGGGCTGTGAATGTGTGGTTGTTTCCATGTCTGTTCTTTTGAGGAACAACGGAATTTGGCTGTGATCTCTCGTTCTCTCTCTCTCTCGTTCTCTCTCTCTGTCGTTCTCTCTCGCTCTCTCTCGTTCTCTCTCTCTCGCTCTTGTTCTCGCTCTCTTGTTCTCTCTCTCTTGTTCTCTCTCTCTTGTTCTCTCTCTCTCGTTTTCTCTCTCTCTCCAGGTTCTCAGTGTTTGGCCTTGGCTCAAGGGCCTACCCACACTTCTGTGCTTTTGCCCACGCTGTGGACACGCTGTTCGAGGAGCTAGGGGGGGAGCGCATCCTACGCATGGGGGAGGGAGATGAGCTGTGTGGCCAGGAGGAGTCCTTCAGAAACTGGGCCAAGAAGGTTTTCAAGGTGGGGTGACTGGGGGAGTCCTTATGGGGCATGTAACACGCGCACACACATGCATGAACGTGTAATGCACACACACACACACACACACACACACTCTAATGGTAAAGGTCTTAGTAATGGACTATACACAGCTGTATTTGCATCAGAGAATGCTGCCACACCTGGTGTTATGTATGACATGCCCACAGGTGTCTGCATGATATGGACTGTTATATTCAGTTGTAAATTAGGAACAACTCCCACACTCTGACACTCTGGTCTGTTGAATCATTTGTTCTTTGTCGAGGTAATGTTTCAGGCAGCCAAATCTTGTAGTGTTCTATCACGTTACACTACTTCAATGATTTTAATTGACACACACTGTAAATTATGGTCTCACTTTGTGTGCAGGCCAGGAGATTCTCTTTCTTGATTTCATTCATAAATAATCTCTAAGAAAATATTTTTAAAGACCTTTCAGCTATAAAAGACAGAGCTTTGAATAATTGTCCTTATAAAAGCATGTGGTCTAACATGTGCTGTGAAAAAGAGCTTTGAATACATTTTAGTCATTTAGCAGACGCTCTTATCCAGAGCGACTTAGTTAGTGAGTGCATACATTTATTTAATTTTTTTCATACTTGTCCTTACAAGCGCCTATGTTTGTCTGTCTGTGAAGGCTGCCTGTGACGTGTTCTGCATTGGCGACGTGAACATCGAGAAGGCACACGATTTGTTGATCAGTAACGATCGAAGCTGGAAGAAGAGTAGGTTCCGCCTCACCTACACAGCTGAGGCCGCTGCACTAACACAAGGTAAACCCTGTTTCAATGAACTTTTTCAACAAAATATAACCTTTTAGTTCTAATGTAGCCTCCGTAAACCCTTTTATAAGGCTTCCAAAGTCATATATTGATTCTTCATATTGTGAATGTGTCCTCGAACAGCACTATACAGCATCCACAAGAAGAAGGTCTATGGAGCCAAGATCTTACAGAGCGAAAACCTACAAAGTTCCACATCCAAGTGGGTGGATTTTGTTACAATACAATACTGTAGACTAGACTGGAGAACATATTGAAATAGGACTTTTCTTAGTCTCAATCAGTTGTAGAAAATTCTACTTCATACGCAAAATGTTACTGTATAACTCCAAACTGTACAATAGTTCCAAACTGTAACCACAGTGCTGAATCCCCTAGCAGTCGCTCCACCATATTTGTTCGACTTCACACAAATAACGAGGACAGCCTGATGTACCAGCCCGGCGACCATCTGGGCATCTTCCCTGGCAACCATGAGGACCTGGTTACGGCCCTTATAGAGAAATTAGAGGACGCCCCACCTGTCAATCAGATCGTCAAGGTGGAGTTCCTAGAGGAGAGAAACACAGCCCTGGGTTAGTAGTGTACTGGGTCATCGTTTCATATTCTTAGATAGCAATGAAAAATACCCTTGCAGACAAAAACATGACCTTGGCCTGAACACCCTTGGGAAAAGAGGTATTCTAACCTCAATGGGATTTCCTTGTTAAATAAATCGAATAAAGCCGAGTTTGATACCAGATGCAATCCGCCTAAGTGATTTAGGGTAACGTAATGCACAAAAAAGGCTAATACTGTACTATTAAATGATCTAATATTACAGTTTTGATGCATCTCTTCTGGTGTTTTATTAGCCTGTTGTATTTATTTTTTCCTTCTGAAGGTGTGATCAGTAACTGGTTAGAGGAGCCTCGGATTCCCCCCTGCACCATCTACCAGGCCTTCCAGTACTTCCTGGACATCACCACGCCCCCCAGCCCTGTCCTGCTGCAGCAGTTTGCCTCCCTCGCCACCAATGACAAGCAGAGGAAGAAGCTGGAGACCCTCAGTAAGGTAATTTACATTTTAGTCATTTAGCCCACAGCCCTGGCGTTGCTAGCGCCATGCTCTACCAACTGAGCTACAGGGGACTATAATGAAGGGTTTTAACCATGTAGTTCAGTACAGTTTATCTGAAGGAATTCAGTGATAGGACACACCCTGGTACTGTTATCTGAAGTAATTCAGTCAGTGTTAGGAAGACCCATGCTACCGACCTTGGTTACTCTCCCCATTGAGCAGTAGACTGAATCACGGTGACATCCAGGTGTTTACTACCAATATAAAAAATATATATATTGTGTAGGCTGCTATCCGACTCTAAATAAAATCATGTGGGATGGACCAAATTCGCCACGTTATCTACCGCCGGCGACATGAGATTCAGCTGCCCAGTGGGAAGCAACTCGCGTTGGGAAACACCTTGATACAACACCGGTGCACTGGTAATTCGCACTGGCTTGTTGTGCTTCCCGTGGGCAGTAAGTAATGTTAGCTAATAATATGTATGGTGACCAATATTACAAATTTTCTCCCTCGCCCATCGAAATAAACATAACTTTCTTTTACCAGTTTTAGCCACAGATGAAAGGGGGAAACTTGCACCAGGCTGTTGCTGCTGGCTAGCCAGCATGGGTTGGTAGGTTTGTTTGAATTCTAAGCAGAGATAATGGAGGAATTGAGGCTTTCTCTACCGTCTCTGGTCTTAGTTCAGACTGTGGGTGTGGTCGATGAACTGTCACTCCAAATGTATTGACCAAGAGTAACCGATTTGTTGCCCCACCTGCACGTGAACATTGGTTCAAAAATGAAAGCGTAGGAAAAAAAGTACTGTAACCGTAGAAATCTGAGTTGAAGGGAAGACCTGAGAAAGTCAAATGTAGGTGAGGAAAACCTGCAAACAAAGTGAAGCAGATTGATGTAAATGACAAACATATTCAATTGAAATAAAATCCTGTTTATTCCCATCAATATCGTTTATTTTTGGCTTGCAATACCTTGATTATTTTTTGTTTACAAATACGTATTGGACTTTACAATATTTATTTTTTCGTTTCAAAAATCCCAAAGTTTTTTTAATCATTTAATGTGATGCCATAGACTTTGCTCTTGTTAAAAATAACCTTACAGTAGGTCAGTTTTTGCTGGTGCAGACGCCATGGAATTTAAGCCCCGCGCCTGGTAACCCACAGACATATTCTCTCCCCATACAGTGACTCCCACAGAAGAAGAAAAAGCACGTCCATTTTTGTCAATGTGTTAAAAACGTTACGTTGGCCGAGTGAGTTTTTAACACATTGACAAAAATGGACGTGCTTTTTCTTCTTCTTTTTTCTTTTTTACTCACTCTTCATGGTTCAACTCATTCTCAAAAAACAAGAAAAGAGAAAGATAAGGGTGGAGGAATAATAAACAAACATCAAGCCAGGTGGGGCGGCAGGTAGCTTAGTGGTTAAGAGCGTTGTGCCAGTAACCGAAAGGTCGCTGGTTCTAATCCCCGAGCCGACTAGGTGAAAAATCTGTCGACGTGCCCTTGAGCAAGGCACTTAACCCTAATTGCTCCTGTAAGTCGCTCTGGATAAGAGCGTCTGCTAAATGACTTAAATGTAAATGTAAAAAAGCCACAGTGGGATCTTTAGCTACTGGCTGTCCTTACTGTTTTCCCTTGTCTGTTCAACTCCAGACCTGCGTGGCCCCCAGTGTCTGTGGGTTACACAAGGTACTCAGGCTAAGTTTAGACGATGACTAAAGCCGGAAAGCCAAACATATGTAAAGTCTATAATACATAATTTCATCATCACATCAGGAGAGGCATTAGATTAGCTTGTTGTGAGTGCCGCGTCTAACTGGAATATGTCTCACCTCTTCACCACCTCTAGGTGCGTGGAGTTGGAGAAACAACCATAATAACTCCTTTTCTCTGAAGCAATACTTTATTTTTTTGGCCTGGCTCCTTACACTAGTGTATATTGAACGTACAAAACAAAGACATACCTCCTCTCCTCTTTCCTCTCCAGGGCTTACAGGAGTATGAGGAGTGGAAGTGGTACAACAACCCGACCATGGTGGAGGTGTTGGAGGAGTTCACCTCTATTCAGATGCCATCCACCCTGCTGCTGACCCAGCTGCCTTTGCTCCAGCCCAGATACTACTCCATTAGCTCCTCACCAGACGTCCACCCTGGGGAGATACACCTGACCGTGGCCGTAGTGTCATACAAAACCAGGGGTAAGGGCTGACTGCTAGGCTGGGCTTAGAGGCGTAGAATGAATTTCCCCATAATCACTGATCTTAGGTCGGTCCCTGTCCGCTAGGGGTTGACCTTTATAGACAGATACAGCATACTTTTACTAGCACCAGAGGTACAGTAAGAGCTTACCGCCGGGCTGGGAACCAGGTGGGCGAGAGTTGGCACTTTTGAAACCAATCCATTGGTGAATTCCGCCCACCTGGTACGCTGAAGGAGCATTGCTATGATATGAGGCTATGCAGCACCATGTTAACACTGACACAGCTAAATGTAGTGGAGATATTGGGGGTGGTGCTGTTCTAAGATATGGTAGCTAATTGAATGAGTCAACCTTTCTGGAGCAACCTTAAGGGAGTTGAAAGCAAAATGGAGTTGAAAGTTATCTTGGAAAACCAGCTTGTGTTTTAGGGCAGCTCTACCACCTTTTGGAATCACAACAGTACTTAATCACTACATGAACAAACATCCAAGATGGTTTTAACTGCAGAGCATAATGTGTGGTTAAATTTGCTGCAAACACTAATACTGTAATTATGGACAATATGTGCAATATTGCACATTATAAAACTGGTTGTTTGGATGCTGATTGGACATGCAGCATTCCAAGCCATGCTGTATTGGCCATCAGACACACTTTTGTTCCATCTGAAAATGAACATTTTTAAATTTTTGTCATTTAGCAGACGCTCTTATCCAGAGCGACTTACAGTTAGTGAGTACATACATTATTTATATTTTTTTCATACTGGCCCCCCGTGGGAATCAAACCCACAACCCTGGCGTTGCAAACGCCATGCTCTACCAACTGAGCTACATCCCTGCCGGCCATTCCCTCCCCTACCCTGGACGACGCTGGGCCAATGGGTCTCCCGGTCGCGGCCGGCTACGACAGAGCCTGGTTTCGAACCAGGATCTCTAGTGGCACAGCCACTGCGCCACTCGGGAGGCTGCACCTCCATAGGAATATCATGTTCATGTTGCTGTCCGAATCATCTCTTGTATTTATCACAACTCGCACATCATTTCCCCTTGCTTCCAGCCTTCCATTTAGTTTGGTATAGCGAGGATTAATATAAGCCTCTCTGTCTGCCTATTCGACCTCGGAAACAATGTTTCACTTTTGATTTTCGATCTCTGGAATAGTGAGTGAACGGTGCCTAGCCCAGATGAGATGAGACAACTTTTTCAGAGCCAGGCGAAATCACACATCAACGTCATTATCATGGACATATCCAAGTAAATGCCAATAGGAAAAGAAAAGCTGAAACAAACAAAAATGCAGCTTGTGGACTGTCATTCCAGGTTCGATGTTTGACGTGACTGAGTTAGCTGAAGTTGGCTAGCTAGCGAGTGACAAGAACGTTATCCAGCCTGCATAGCAACCATTTTGTTTAGAACTGATAACCAGTCCTTTTGCATAGCAACTATGCAAAAATTATTAAAGACTCTGTCACCTCTGTAGCAACATGGCCAAAATAACAAACTAGATTTTTGGGCTGTGGCGGTCATGAAATTTTGTCCGCTGGTGATTGTCAAGCAAATAACTGCCGGTCTCACGGTAATTGACTGTTAATTAACAAACATGTTTAGCATCTCCTGGCTTCCACGCATAGCCTACAAGCCACTGATGCATACCTTTTTGGAACGTCTATGTTTTAAAAATGGCCTACACCATCACAATAAATCAATTATTTATTTTAGACCGGTCAAAAGAAACATAATATGAAGAAAAATGTAGTCTATTTCAGAAGAACAGAATAGCATACTCTGAGTTGTCCATATGTTAGGCCCTGATCTGGCGATGCCAAATGGCTGCGGGCTACATTAGTTCATTTAGCAGACAAGATTTGCTTAGAAGCCTGTGGCATTATTTTATAGTATGAAGAATACAATTGAACATAAATGAATAAAATAGAAAGGATATTTTCTCCAAACAATTTCAGAGGGAGTGCGCACATGTGGCTATTCTGCGTTGAGCGGTTAACAAAGAAACCGGTCCTCCTACAGTGCATTCGGAAAGTGTTCAGACCCTTTACTCAGTACGTTCTTGAAGCACCTTTGGCAGTGATTACAGCCTTGTGTCTTCTTGGGTATGACGCTACAAGCTTGGCACAACTGTATTTGCGGAGGTTCTCCCATTCTTCTCTGCAGATCCTCTCAAGCTCGGTCAGGTTGGATGGAGAGTGTCGCTGCACAGCTATTTTCAGGTCTCTCCAGAAATGTTCGATCGGGTTCAAGTCCAGGATCTGGTTGGGCCACTCAAGGACATTCAGAGACTTGTCCCGAAGCCCCTTCTGCATGGTCTTGGCTGTGTGCTAGGGTCGTTGTCCTATTGGAAGGTGAACGTTCGCGCCAGTCTGAGGTCCTGTGCGCTCTGGAGCCGGTTTTCGTCAAGGATCTCTCTGTACTTTGCTCCATTAATCTTTCCCTCGATCGTGATTATTCTCCCAGTCCCTGCTGCTGAAAAACATCCCCACAGCATGATGCTGCCACCACCATGCTTCACCATAGCAATGGTGCCAGGTTTCCATCAGACGTGACGCTTGGCATTCAGGACAGAGTTCAATCTTGGTTTCATCAAACCAGAAAATCTTGTTTCTCATGGTCTGAGAGTCCTTTAGGTGCCTTTTGGCAAACTCCAAGCAGGCTGTCATGTGACTTTTACTGAGGAGTGTCTTCTGTTTGGCCACTCTACCATAAAGGCCTGATTGGTGGAGTGCAGCAGAGATGGTTGTCTTTCTGGAAGGTTTTCCCATCTCCACAGATGAACTCTGGAGCACCGACAGTGTGACCATCAGGTTCTTGGTCACCTCCCTGACCAAGGCCCTTCTCCCCCGATTGCTCAGTTTGGCCGGGCGGTGGTTCCAAACTTCTTCGATTTTAAGAATGATGGAGGCCACTGTGTTCTTGGGGACCTTCAATGCTGCAGACATTTTTTGGTAACCTTCCCCAGATCTGTGCCTCGACACAATCCTGTCTTGGAGCGCTATGGACAATTCCTTTCAACCTCATGGCTTTGTTTTTGCTCTGACATGCACTGTCAACTGTGGGACCTTATATAGATAGGTGTGCCTTTCCAAATCCTGTCCCATCGATTGAATTTACCACAGGTGGACTCCAAGTTGTAGAAACATTTCAAGGATAATCAATGGAAACAGGATGTACCTGAGCTCAATTTTGAGGGTCTGAATACTTATGTAAATATGGAACCTGTTTTCGCTTTGTCATTATGGGGTATTGTGTGTAGATTGATAAACAAACAAATACATTTAATCATTTTTAGTATAAGGCTGTAACATAGCAAAATGTGGAAAAAGTAAAGGGGTCTGAATACTTTCTGAATGCACTGTATTAACTTAATTTAGAGTTATTTATGCAACTGTAGTTGTGATCCAAACGTTGGGCTATATGTTTTGATTTTTTTTATACATTCTAAGGCTGTATGATGTGACTAATGATTTATCTGAAAAAAGTTGCATTGAAAGCATGAGCTCTGTTTTGTTTCTCATAAAGGCTGCACACATCATCAGTATCTCATTCACAATTTGACAAGCACTTAAAAATATTCTCACCAGGCCTCAAATTTCCCGGCGGCATCCCCCTTGTGTGGCCATATAAAATCCATGCCTCTTGTGGCCGTTGTGCCCTTGGTCTGAATATAATAATTATAATTCCCTTCTGCCAATTGCTATGCTCCGACACACCTCTCACTCATGGCTCACTCAGATATCTCAATTCTTATAAGCCAATGCCTGGCATCTCCGTTCCAAAGTAGGCTACAAGTGAAGACTGACACATCGGGAACGCAACTGTGCACATCCTTCTTATCGAATTCCGAGGCAAATATTGAAGATAATAGAAGAACTGTCCACATTTACTTCTATTGGTTAACTTGTCCTTCTGTGCGAGAAATAAAAATTCCAAACATACTCTGGGACAGTTGTGGGATGCGATTGATCCCAAATTAATACAACCACTCGCATCAAAAAACCTTTTAAAAGCAATGAGGCTGACTCAACAGATCAGAACGTTTAGCTTAAAATGTTGATAAACTATTAGGCTATTTCTTCACATTAGCTCAGCAATGCTCACTTAGGCTATTTCTTCACATTAGCGCAGCAATGCTCACTTAGGCTATTTCTTCACATTAGCGCAGCAATGCTCACAAGCGGCAGTAGGCTATAAGCGCAAATGTTCCAAAATGCTATCAATTAGCGGGAAAACACTGTTCTCAAAAGTGACCTTAAGTGTGATTATGCATGTAATGATTTATTATAAAGGTGCATTTTTATGGAGAAAATTATCTTCCCCGTACTTAACTCATGCGCCGCCTATGTATGCCAGTTAGGCTCTACATCGGTTGTAAAGCAGATTAATGTGCTTAATTTTAAGGTATTTGGCCACTTTAGTTGTTGTGATACAAACCTTATCAAAACATATAGGCCTATGGGCTAGGCAACATACGGTGTGCGACTATGATTTGGAAAAGACGGACTTTTCTTGCCTTACTGCACACGCTGGGCATCATTCACAAGTGATAATACATCATTCACAAGTGATGGGCTAATATTGTCACCCATCAGACTATTCTTGATTTAATCTAGTCTTTACATATAATACATAATATATGTGAAATTAGTTTTGATTTAGAATGGACCATGTTCATGCAGCTGTCTCGGAACAGGGGCAGGGGGAAAATATGCATGTAATCTATGCACTTCAATAGTGAATGGAGGACACTTTTCCCGTGGTTCATTTTCATGCCAGCCAGGTAGGCCATACTCCTGTTGCAAAGCAATGTGCTTGATATTAGGAAAGTTGAGAAATAAATAATGTAGGCCTAGCTTATTGAAAGCTGATGGGATCCTCTTTTTAATAGAGGCCATCAACTCTGTTATCTCACGCAATTGCATAGCCTATAGAAATGTTGCACAACATGAGCTCATGGGCTCTCATTAAGTGTTTTTAATTAGATTTTCGATTACATTTGCATTGTCAGAGTCATTTAAAGGGACAAGGGAGTTCTGAGTACCAGGCAGTTAGCAAGTTTGGTAGGCTGCTAATGACCATCCGCAGCATCAGAGCTTGGAGAAGCCTAGTTACCGTGACTAAATGGTCACATGGAATTTGACTGCGGTCATGACTCTTGACCGCCGGTGTGGTGGTAATACAGTCACCATAACAGTCTAGTCCGGACTGTATCTTCTGGAAGAATGAAATTGTATGAATTTACTTATCAAAATAAGGTTTTAATGAAAATGTGTAATTCATTATTTTTAATATGTTGGGAACAGTTTTATAAAAGCAAGAAGGCATGAGGCAGTGCTGTATCATGAATACAGGTACAGTGCGTTCAGAAAGTTTTCAGACCCCTTGACTTATTCCACATTTTGTTACGTTACAGCCTTATTCTAAAATGTATTAAGTATTTGTTTTTCCTCATCAATCTACACACAATACCCCATAATGACAAAGTGAAAACAGGTTTTTAGAAATTTTAGCAAATGTATTAAATATTAAAAACATACCTTATTTACATAGGTATACAGACCCTTTGCTGTGAGACTCGAAATTGAGCTCAGGTGCATCCTGTTTCCATTGATCATCCTTGATGTTTCTACAACTTGGAGTCCACCTGTGGTAAATTCAATTGATTGGACATGATTTGGAATAGCACACACCTGTCTATATAAGGTCCCACAGTTGACAGTGCATGTCAGAGCAAAAACCAAGCCATGAGGTTGAAAGGAATTGTCTGTAGAGCTCTGAGACAGGATTGTGTCGGCACAGATCTGGGGAAGGGTGTCAACATTTCTGCAGCATTGAAGGTCCCCAAGAACACCGTGGCCTCCATCATTCTTAAATGGAAGAAGTTTGGAACCACCAAGACTCTTCCTAGAGCTGGCCGCCCGGCCAAACTGAGCAATCGGGGAAGAAGGGCCTTGGTCAGGGAGGTGACAGAGCTCCAGAGTTCCTCTCTGGAGATGGGAGAACCTTGCAGAAGGACAACCATCTCTGCAGCACTCCACCAATCAGGCCTTTATGGTAGTGGCCAGACGGAAGACACTCCTCAGTAAAAGTCACATGACAGCCTGCTTGGAGTTTGCCAAAAGGCACCTAAAGGACTCTCAGACCATGAGAAACAAGATTCTCTGGTCTGATGAAACCAAGATTGAACTCTTTGGCCTGAATGCCAAGCGTCACGTCTGGCGGAAACCTGGCACCATTGCTATGGTGAAGCATGGTGGGGGCAACATCATGCTGTGGGTATGTTTTTCAGCGGCAGGGACTGGGAGACTAAACAGGATCGAGGGAAAGATGAATGGAGCAAAGTACAGAGATCCTTGATGAAAACCTGCTCCAGAGTGCTCAGGACCTCACTCTGGCGTGAAGGTTCACCTTCCAACAGGACAACGACCCTAAGCACAGAGCCAAGGCAACGCAGGAGTGGCTTAGGGACAAGTCTCTGAATGTCCTTGAGTGGCCCTGCCAGAGCCCGGACTTGATCCCGATCAAACATCTCTGGAGATACCTGAAAATAGCTGTGCAGCGACGCACCCCATCCAACCTGACAGAGCTTGAGAGGATCTGCAGAGAAGAATGGGGAAAAACTCCCCAAATACAGGTGTGCCAAGCTTGTAGCGTCATACCCAAGAAGACTCGAGGCTGTAATCGCTGCCAAAGGTACTTCAACAAAGTACTAAGTAAAGGATCTGAAATACTTATGTAAATGTAATATTTCGGTTTAATTTTTTATAAATTAGCAAACATTTCTAAAACTGTCTTTGCTTTGTCATTATGGGGTATTGTGTGTGTAGATGACGGGGGGGAAAAAACAATTTAATCAATTTTAGAATAAGGCTGTAACGTAACAATGTGGAAAAAGTCAAGGGGTCTGAATACTTTCCGAATGCACTGTAAATGGTTTGACTGGACAATGACATCTAAGATCTCTATATTGGAGCATAGGCATATGTTTTACTGGTTTCGGGTTAACTGGTTTCTGTTTCTGTTTTGTATTTGTGCATATAATGACACTACATACATCTAAGTAACCACAAAGATTATTCCTCATGCTTCGACGTGACTTAAATCGTCACCAATTTACCTCATCTGCAAGTTAACAAACACAAACAGCTGGCGACAAGCATCTCTTTCAAGCTTTTTCTCTTTCTCCAAGATGCATTGTGTGAGTGTGATGTGCGTGGTGCTGAGGGTGATGGTTTAATTACAGTCATTTACCTACACTGGAGACAAACACCCTTTAGCCCAGGGAACTGCATTATGTGTACTCTATTTCAGAGTGTTAGTTTGCGTGGTGCGCAGTGGAGAGGAGGAGGTACGGAAGTAAAGTGGATGATTGGTAATTGCCTCTTTTTCAGATGGAGAGGGCCCTATCCACCATGGAGTGTGTTCATCATGGCTCAACAGAATAGAGGCAGAAGAAATGGTCCCCTGTTTTGTTAGAGGGTATAACACTTTGCTTCTTGTGTGTGTGCTATTGCTGCATGATGGCTTTTACTCGTTGAATGGAATACATGTAATTTTCTATGATTGTAAGTGGTGGTTTGGAGAATATCTTGGACTATAACAAACATCAACATTGTACATTGATGCATATGATAAGATTCATACACAACATTGACTCTGTGTGTATTCTACAATCATTGAGGAAAAACGCTTTGATGCTAGTGCTATTAAAAATGCCCTGATTCGTAGCTTATATGATGTTTTCTACAATCATTTAGTACATTTATTTTTTTGTTATGTCTTCAATTGTAATTGGATGGAAAAATTGCTTTGATTGTAGTGCTCCTACATTCCGATTGCCAAAGGACCACAGAGCTCCGTGTATCCTAGTTGGTCCAGGCACTGGGATCGCCCCCTTCAGAAGCTTCTGGGAACAGAAACTTTTCGACTATGAACACAATGGTTTGTTTACGTTTTAGAATAGGAAAAGCGCTCACATACCTGATCTTACTTGTGGAAATTATTCGATAAGGACTTAAAAGAAAAGGAAAAACCCACACACTGCTGCCAGTATCACTTGTGTTTATTCAACTTTACAGAATGCAACTTCATAAATAAACACTAGTATTTTAGATGACTCCAAAACATTGTAGTTCAGTGAAAGATTAAGTTAAGATCTGAACTTACAAAGTAATGTGTTTGTTACCGTAGGGATCAAATCCTGCCCTATGATCCTGGTATTTGGGTGCCGGCAGTCCCAGATAGACCACATCTACAAGGAGGAGACTATCCAGGCTAAGAACAAGGAAGTGTTCAAAGAGCTTTACACAGCCTACTCCAGAGAGCCTGGCAGACCAAAGGTACTGTTAACTTTAAAGATTGAGTTAGTCCATTTAAAGTTAACCCTCTTGGGGGTGTTCTACTAGGCTAACATATGGAATTGTTTTAAGATAGCCAAATGATCCTTGGTATGACCATTTGATTTTGAAAATGAAATGTATATTTTTTGATAAAACATTGAATTTGGCCTTACTGCTATTAGCCCATAGAAACACATTGAATAACAGATTCATACATGGAAAAACAAAGTACAAAAAAGAAATCTCAAGGAAGTTTGTTTTGAAGTGTCTGTCCTATAATCTGAGACATATATAAGAAATATCAGGAAAGTATATTTTTTGTACATGTATTTAACCCCTTGTTTTAGGCACTAAACTACTTCCATTTACACTTCCATACATTTTTTAAACTGGTACTGGGCTGCCTTCAGGTGAGGCTTGTGGGCGTCCTAGACCAAAACAACCCACATGTACATGTTTGTGAGAGTCTCCCCTTTCCATATTAGTGTTTAGCCCAAACTGTTCGGACACTACAGACAGAAGTTGGCAGATCGGCGGTACCGACGTCAGACGAGTCCCGTGACGCTTGTGGGGGTGGTAGAGCAAAATCACAAACATGTACGCGTTTGTAAGAGTTATCTTTTCATAGTGGTCATATTAGTTTGTAGGGCAAACCGTTCAGACGCTACATGCGAGAAGAGAAGACCGATTTTCGGGATGTCTCCTGGTCTGTGAAACACCGCTGTAGCATGACCACATTCAACCGCAGATGCGGAAGGCCGCCATTGGAGGATGTGGTGGATTGAGACACAGCCCATGCAAAAAACATATCTCTATAGTTGAAACAGATTTTGATGGGGATGTTTTTATTATGCCAATTAGATTTCCGCGGGGACGTGGGACGTGAACATTTTTACTTGAGGGTTAAACATAAAAATGTGTCTTTGACAGTAAAGACACAGCAAAACAGACAGAGGTCATGTGGGAGATAAGAACGTGTATGTGGATTTATGAATTAAAAGTATGTACATCTCTATCCCTGTGTTTTTGTTTTCCCTTGACTCCTCACATGGGGCACCATTTTATGTACTATTATCCTCAACCCCGATGCACAATCACTACAATCTGTTCATTGCCTTCAACTGTCAATGAGCCTGTATCTTTCTCTCCCTGTTTATCTCTATATGGTTTTTTAAAATCTCTCTCTCATTCTCTCTCTTTCTCCCCTATGTCTCTGACACAGAAATATGTGCAGGATGTGCTTCGTGAGCAGCTGTCAGAGACTGTGTACCAGTGCCTGAAGGAGGAGGGAGGACACATCTACGTGTGTGGGGACGTGGGTATGGCCGGGGATGTCCTCAAGACCGTCCAGCAGATCATCAAACTGCAGGGAAACATGACACTGGAGGACGCTGGGTTCTACATCAGCAAACTGAGAGTAAGGGACAATATGCTTCACCATACTGTACACTGTTAACTAACAACTAACCAACCTGACAGACAAAACATACAAAGTAACTAAGTCATGCAATTTAGATTTGGACCTTGGCAGGTTCACTTTTTGAGATGACTGCACTCCTTATACCTACTTGTGGATGATTTTCAGAAAATGACAGACACATTCAGAATGTTGTTCAGTGGGATTCAAAAGAGAACTGAATGGAAGGCTCTTACATTAATGACTCAAAGAAAGAGAAACCAAAAACACAACTTTCAAAGATTTGAATAAGCAATTTTAAGACCACCAGACAACCAACCGTACAGACCATGCATACTGTACATAAAAGGGGTATATAATCAAACTAATTTCTAAAGAGCTGCCTGTAACAGAAAATAGGCAATTTGATCATCTAAGGAAAGCTTTTATCCAAGCCCTGGCCATAAAAATAAAAAATTCAAGGCAATGCTGTACTGTACACTACACATCACTGTATACCTCTTTTCTCTCTGTCCACATGTCACCACACTGAATCAAGTGTATCTTCCTGTGGCCATCTAACCTCACTTTGTCTATTGTATCATTCTGTGCCCATCTTATCTCACAAATCTTATCATCTCTCCTCGTAGGACGAGAACCGTTATCATGAGGACATCTTTGGTGTCACGCTGCGTACCTACGAGGTCACCAACCGGCTCCGTTCAGAATCCATCGCCTACATCGAGGAAAGCAAAAAGGACTCTGACGAGTGAGTCTTTCGAGTTTTCCCCCACAGCTTCCATTCTGTTCCCCTCTAGTTCTCTCACGGCGACCAACTGTCACCAGGACATCTTTGATGTCTTTACATGTTGTGCCATACTTGTAGGAGGGACCTGCAAAGCTGTAGATACACTGGAGATATAGCCTCTGGTCTGATTTATGACAGTTTTCAAAATGCAGAACGGGTAACCATAGAAATCAGTTGAAAAGGGCTCCAACTCAACTAACCGGATTGCAGTGTTAGCGAGGGGCTCTGTTAGGTTCTCCACTGCGTTTGTGCTTTTAAAGATAAGAGCCTCCTTTTGATCCATATACACTTGTCATAAGAGGAGTGGAGAATGAAGGCTGACTTGCACAATGCCTCATTAAAAAGCTGCATAATAACGTATGGCGGTTTGTGTTGGCCAGCCACCATGGTTCCTGTGTGAAATGTCACTTGAATTTCTCAGTGTTGTGATCAAAACCCTTGTTCCTGAGTGAGATGGAGGGGTAATGCTTGTAACCTCTCTCTCGTTCTGTCTCTCGCTTGCTCGGTCTAATGCCTCTCCCTCTCTCTCTGTTTCTGTCAGGGTGTTCTGCTCGTAGAACCATAAGTGGGGCTTCCGGATCTTTCTGATGTGGACCAATTGGAAGGGCCGTATGCAGTAGTGGGGCAGGGAAATGAGTGACACTACAGCTGGTCGAGAATACTGTGCCAAGTTTTGTACTGTAAAATTTGATTTACAAAATATTTTTTGGTTTGTTTTTGTTCTTTTTTATATCAGTTCTGGTTCGTCATGGTCAGTCAGGCTCTGCACTTAGTCTGTGGCAACGTTTGACATATGTTATTTTCCAAGAACTTTGAGATGTTTTGTTAAATCGATTACTTTCTGATTTCATTATGCATCATAATGTGCACCCAGTATTATACCTGCCACTTTGTTGATGCATGAGCAAGATGAGAATATTAGTTAGTAAATATATTATACTGTTTGTTAGCTATTTAATGTTAGTCAAAACCTTTTGCTAAACTTTTATATTTGCAGGACTACTTCTGGTACCTGGAAACAAGGTCAAAATGCTTTGACTCGAGATTCAGTCTGAGTTCCATTCCCAACCAACTGATTCTGGTGCATTTCAGCGTATACAAGGCCAAACCCTTGTCAGTCAGAGCTGGTCTAGCCTGCTTTGGTGTGTATTGTTCATAACTGAGATTCCAGGTTTAAGTGCAGGCTCATTATTATAAAGAAATATAAAAAAATAAGGTTTTGTAAGGAGTGTGGGAGAGCGAGAAAGGGAAGGAGAGAATGAAAGAGCGAGAGAACTAGATAGACAGGCTATGCTCGGTGTTGAAGACATAGTAAGGAAAGGAGTGCAGTGAATAACAATTACCTGGATTGGTTAACCTATAACCACAACCTTCCGACCACACGGTCATCCAAAATTACATAAGTATTCAGACTCTCCTTGACAGTCCATCAAAATGCATCTGCTCCTCTTGTCAGCTTTCTCTGTTTCCAGCCTGCCTGTCAGAATAGCAGTTTTCTCCCCATTGTGTGGTCTGGTTTTACAACAGTAACTGCATATAGATGTGGATGAAAGCCATTGAAATGTTTGAAATGTCATGCCATGGGAAAGCCTATGCATGTGTATTTCCTGTATACATTCTCATAACCCATATTTAAGTATATTACACACAAAAACAACTGTGTATAATCTAGAGGGCTCTGCAGCTTATAAATGGTATACAATATTATCAAGGGCCTTCCTATTTAATCACCAAATGCTGATGTATTGAAAGTACTTTCCATTGTATTTACAATGGGAACAGAGCAAGGAAAGGATTCATGATTTCAAATGAATCAAGAGGTTGGGTGTTGGGTTGCTATACTTTGCTGGTTCTCCTTGACCAACCATTACCATATCCTTGCGATCTCTGTTTTTACCATCATTATAACCTTCCATGTAACCGTAGTTTTATATATGGCTACGTGTATGTAACTATCCATGTAAAGAAACCCTGCAGTGTCTGTCTTATCCCCATGTCATCAGATCTGGATTAAGGGCAGATTGGCGTAAATCTCAAATAGTAGAAATCTCGAATGACATCAATGCATGAGTAGATGAGTGTTGCTTTATGGTTTTATTATTCCTTCATGTGTCTCTTTCTGTGTGTGTGTGTGTCTCTCTTTCTCTCTCACTCAGTAACTCTAGCCCTTTTCTCTCTGCCACCACCTCTCACTGCCTGCCCACATGTCTGGTGATGCTGCCACAGCTCCCCCTCTCCTCACTGAGACCTGACACCTGTCTGAAGGTCTGTCAAGTGCTGTTTGTGTGCGTCCATGAATGCTTGGTGATAACCACTACAAAATACTAAAGTACTTTTGCGAAAACAAAATGTATGTGTCTGCATGTATTCTCCATTCACTGTTACCATCCACTTTTACCTTCACATGCTGTTTGCCTTTGTTGAGAATTAAATGAACCCTCCCTCTCTGTCCCTGCACACACACCAACCTTGAACGCTACAGCACGTGTGCCCTCTGCAAACCCAAACAATTCTGTTTGCATTTTCAAGATCAAGAAATAGGTCATTGCTTTTAGTTGTTGTCATGGCAATTCAACTATGTTGAGTTTACTTAATCATAAAGTAAGGTAAAGGATGATATCTTAATTAAAATGATATGTCTATTGCTGATGGCTTTTCAGCGCAAGCTTGTGTCAAAGCACTGTCTTTACTTTGTTTCCCACTTTTCACTGAGCATCATATGAAGGCCATGCATTTACAGGGCTGCTCTGAGTCATGTTTCCATTCTAAACATGTCATTGACATTTGTGATGAAAACATTTCCAATGGTCACCAACTCCGCAGTAACCTGTGGCTTTTCTTTCTTAAGTACTTCCTTTGTTTCCAAACTAAAATGGCCGCCAGCATGATTGAAACGTAATGGATTTCTGTGTTCTGTCTCTCTGCTACTTACTGGCGCATATAGAGTACGTTTTTAATGGGGAACTTTTTTGGGGGGGAATAGGCAAACCTGTTAATTGTTCCTCTTGCTGAATGTTTTCTTCCACATTAATTTGTTTAAGCAGGTTTTGGGGGATTTGGAATGAGGGCTGCTAAAACTCTTGATGTAAAATGTGCAACGAAAAAAAAACAACTATAAATATAGCATATACTAAGACAAAGAAACAGAACTATTTGAACTAACTTTTTCTAAGAATGTATTTTGATGATATAAATAGGTATTATTATTATTATGTATCTTCTGCTTGGTAAAAATAACCCATAAGAAAACAAACAAGAACTACAGTGGTCTCCCTGATATCCTTTAGGCACGGGAAAAACCGCAGCACCAGCTGAATGCATGATGTACTGTACCTCTGTGTCCTCTTTTAAAAAAGCTCTGTCTACCTACCAGCACTGTGTCACTCAGTACGACTGTGACTCCGTCCATCCATACAGTGTGATGGGAGAGACTGTTGATGTTCTCAAGGGGTTTCTGTGTTTGTATTGCTGCTGCTAAACTCCAACAACCCAAACAGCCTCTGCTATATGCTCCTTGGTGTGGAATTTATCAACCTAGATGGTTTCCATTTTCATGCATACTGCAAGGAACTTTGCATTTACTTAATAAAAAAAAACCTTTACAGTATATGTCAATACTGTGTTTGTGTTTTCTTATGTGTTTAAACTAGTGTCATGGGATCTTAAATGAGTGGGATGTAGGTAGTGGAATTTAAGGTCAGCTTGGATTGTTGAGTGTTGCCTGCGCTCAGGCAGTTTCAAAGATTTAAGTAGGTATAGGAGATGTATTGTGTACACTCCATGTCCTGTGCCTTTTGCTGTATTGAAATGATTATAATTACTGCAAACAAGCCAGCTCTGTGCGCTTCCTGCTCTTGTTGTCATTCTCAAAGCCTTCACAACAGGGTAGGGACTCCGGTACAATACGGGCACTGAGATGCGAAGTGTAGGCAGTGGCACTCAGCTAGAGATACAATCCAGCACCATGGTAACCTAACAACAAAGTAAATCAGTCAAACATGAAACCAGCACCCGTGTCCTCAGCCTCCTGTGGATTGGTGGGTGTGAGCCAGAGTGAAAAGCCCACAACTTCCTAATTAGCTGAATAGCTTGCCAGTCAATAGTTTTTACGAGATTGAGCAAGATATGTTGGGGCAGCAGCCAAGAAGTTCACTGCACTGATTTCACCCTCAGTCACATATACCATTCTAACACATCTTAGATTTACATCGGCACACTCCAACTAGCAAAACTACTTGTGAAAGCTTACAAGCAACAAAATATATTGGGTGGAAGACAAGCCGAGTCCGTTGTGTTGGAACAATGGTCGTTGGGAAGAAGTTGGCCAAAGAGTCCCTGCTGCCGTCTGTTCTGGAGGATGATGACGCAGAGATGGAGAGTGAGAGAACGCAACTGGGTGGGATAGGAAGCCGACCACCCAGCAGACCCAGGAAAGCTTTCAGTAGGGGAAGCGTCGACATACAGGTAGATGGGCAGATGGATCTGACTTGAGAGACAATAGTTTGAGGATATAGATTTGGTAGTGTGTCACTGGAAAACATTTGTTGTCACTTGTCTTTTACTTTTTTCAATATCCACTTTGAGGGACACAGTATTACTGGTTTTCTTGATCAGCCTCTGATTAAAATGCATGAATAAATACCAGCATACTACTGCTCTCAAGAGTTTGAGTTATGCAGCCCTGTACTTACAGTACATCTGTAGTACAGGGATGTCTCCACTATCATTCTAAAACCAGCTGCTACAGTATGATCAGTGTCAATTCTTTGAGCCTCAGCCACACTCTCTCTCTCCCACTCCCTGCTGCAGACAGTGACCCGGTCAGGGTCCGGCCGTCACTCCAGCCCTGAGGGGGAGGTGTCAGACAGGGGTGAGAGAAAGGAGGAGAAGGAAGAAGAGGGCAGTGGAGGCGGAGGTTGCGATGGAGACACACAGGAGAGGGGGAAGGAATGTGTCATCACAGCTTCAGACGAGGACTATGACACAGACTTGGAGCTGGGAGGTAGGTAGTACATCGTAGCGCTGCGAGTTCTTAATAAAAGAGAGAACGAGAGAAAGGTGGGTGAATCACAAGTTCTGATGAAGGGTGTAAGAGAGCTAAGGGGCAGAGCGTGTGGTTTGCCACTGTCTCTTGTCTCGGGGGAAGAGAAATGGCTAACTGATGAGTCGTGTTTGACATTAACCGTTTCATCTCTGATAGATCATCACACTTTCACATGCTTTTTCTCTTTGTATCCCTCTCGCTCTCTCTCTAGGAAGTCGTCGTTAACAATTTCATAGAAAGAACCCTCATCTTATTTCTGATCATTTGATCATATTTAGATCATGCTTTGAACATGAGCAACTGTCCCAATAAATCTCTCTCTATCCATCACCCCCCCTCCGCTTTTCCTCCTGATTAGTTGAAGGGATGGCAGAAACAAACACCTACACACAGAGATTTCTGTTCTGCATCTTAATGACTTCATCTAGGCTTTGTAGTAAGGCCTCTTTCACCATAAGTGAAGGCCATCTGGTACATGAATGAGCTAGTACCCACTACCCAGTCCCCAGACGTGGTGAAATCAACCGCAAGGATACTTTAACGACCAAAGTCACATTGACAGCTTAGACTGTCTCAGAGGGATATGTAGAGATGCCAAGTCCTTTTACTTGTTTTGATAGTGAGTGGCTCTGATGGAGAAACGTGTGGCTGGTTCAGACCTGGGTTCAAATACTATTTGAAATCGTTCAAATACTTTGACCATTTGATTTAGTCTGTCTGAAGTGCTCAGTGGACGGGGTTTGCTGTGTTGGGACTATTCTATTGGTTCCATTTTCAAGATGGCGCCGTACTGTATGGCTGCCGTCTTGTGAGCTCTAACCCAATTATTATTTTTATTTTGGTGTTTATCTTTATTTATTTTGCACGGAATGTATCCATTATCATTTATTATGCTCGACAAGAGCTTTTGAACATCACGTTACCAACCTCAATTCTGGCTTCAACTTCCACTTCGACTCATCTGCCCTGTGCTCTTTCTGTAATTCAAGAGGAAACGCCAGCAAAAAAGAGACAAGAGAGGGAGAGCACTGGCGAGATTAAGGCGAAGGGGAAAACCGGCCACCTCTTCCCTCCATTCTATTGGCCAGTGTATAGTTTCTTGATAATATGATGGATGACCTCCGATCGAGGTTTTGCTATCAACGGGACTCTCGTAACTGCAATACTCTCTGCCATTCTAAAGCATTGCTTTCGGACAAGATACCCCCCAAGGCAATCCAATTCGATGAATTCTCCATTCACCGAGCAGAGGACATTGCATTCAGGGAAATCGAGAGGGGGAGGGGTGTGCCGCTTCATCAACAGCAAATGTTGTGCTGACTCTAGCGTCTCTTGACCCATTGTTCACCCGTCTTGGAATACCTGATGGTCAAATGCCGACCCTTCTACCTTCCGAGAGAGTTTTCAGCTGTTATCGTGATTGCTGTAAATATTCCACCTCAGGACAAGAAAAACAACAAGCTAGTACTTAATGAACTGTATGAGGCTATAAACAATCAGGAAACCTTGCCCCCGGAGGCTGCTTTCCTTGTTGCCTGTGAATTTAATTCTGCGTCATTAAGACACAATGCCCAACTTCCATGAACACATCACCTTCGCCACTAGGGGGCGATAAAGTCACCCTTTGGCAAAGCAGATCATATACTCTTGCTTCCTGTCTACAAGCAGAAGCTCAAACAGGAAGCACCCGTGATGCACTCTGTTGAGAAATGGCCCTCCGAATCGGATGCTATGCTACAAGACTGCTTTGCTAGCGCTGACTGGAATATGTTCTGGGACTCCACCAATAGCATCGACTAGCTAACCACCGCCGTCACCGGCTTCATTAGGAAATGCATCGCCAACGTCATCCCCACAGTGAAGGTTCGCCGCATCCCCAATCAAAAGCCCTGGATTAACACTGAGGTTGGCGCTAAGCTAAAAGACAGGGCTACCACACACAGGGCTATTTTAGCAAACCCCGAGGCTACGGCTGAGGACAGGAACAAGTACAAGAAGTCCCGCTGCGACCTCCGCAGAGACATCAAACAAGCAAAAGGACAATATAGGAACAAGGTAGAATCCTATTACACAGGCTCAAATGCCCAACGCATGTGACAGTCTACAGTCCATTACGGATTATAAAGGAAGACCCAGCCTTGATCTGCCCAACGATGCCTCTCTACCAGACGAACTCAATGCATTTTATGCACGCTTTGACAAAAACAACACAGAGCCATGC